GTGGATGAACTTGGAGGACATTATGCTGAGTGAAATAAGTCAATCACAAAAGGACAAATACTGTATTAGTCTGTTATTGTAAAAGTCGAGGAACAGTTTATATGTGAAAGGAAATTTTCTTTGTTGGTTACCAGGGTGGGAGGTAGGGGAAGGAACACTGTTAGATAGGTATAGGTAAGTATTGATTTGGGTGAACAGAAGGGCAATGTACCAAATGTGAGTGATCAATATGGTGGCACTGAGGAAGAGAAAGACATACAGAGGTACATGGGAGGTACAAACAACAAAAATGAACCCTTTTGCACATACATATACCCATGAAAGCAAACATGGGTATACAGGTGGATAGATGGGTGGACAGGCTGAACTAGTAGGTATGTCTATGAAGCAGGGAGTGTACCCAAGACCATATATAGGGCTGGCAGACAATGGTCCTATAAGTTTATTTGTATCATCTGAATTCCCAGGTGTATAGTAGAGCTGACAAAGGGCAAGGTTGTAGTCACTTCTTGGTCACAGCCAGCTATCCAGAGGGACTGAGTAGTTGAACCTGTGGGCTCAGGACCATAATTGCAGGGGACATCAAGCTCAATTGGCATATCATACTACACAAAACATTGTTCCACCTTCTACTTTGGCGAGTAGCATCTGGGATCTTAAAAGCTGGCAAGCAGCCATCTGGATGCAACAATGGGTCTCTCTTTGTCCAGAGCAAAGAAGAATGAAGAAAACCAAAAATTCATGGACACAATTAGTCCTAGCGACTGGTACACCATCCGATCTGCAGCCTATACAACTATGAGTCCAGAAGAACTAGATGGTGCCCGGCTACCACTGTCAACCAATTGGAAGGGGATCTATGTAGGAGATCCTGGAAAGAGAGGAGAACAATGCAGAACAAAACTCAAAATCATTTGGAGAAAAAAAAAAAGGGATGGGAACGAGGTTTGCTGGTCTAATAGAGCCTGGTGGAACCACTGAGACTATGGCCACCAGATGTCCTTCAGGTCTATAATTGAATCCACACCTGTGGCTTCCAGCCAAACAAAAGACTGACATATGAGTTGAACACTTACCTGAGGTAGATATACTCCTTGGAGAGAACAATCGTGGGAGAAAGAAGGTCTGCTTATGCACAGGAAGACAGCTCAGGGAGCAGAAGTGCATGGAGAGATGGACACAGGGAAGAGGTAACTATGGGGAGGTAGTGGGAGGGGAGCTGTTGCATTGTGGTAAATTGTGGTCAATGTCATGAGACAAAGTGCAAGTGAACTGCTGTATGGAAAGCAAATTTGCTCTGTAAATTTCACCCAAATCACAATTAAAAAAAAAGAAATGACTCAAAAATTTATTTAGTAAAGTGCAACAGAAAAAAATGTCAATGCGTTACCTTTCAGCGGTGATATTCTTCCTACCATTCCCACTCTGTTCAAGCTTGTCCAGCAAATTAACACTTGTCACTTTGGCAGGAGAGATAGCCTGTCTATCTCTAAATTTCTTAGGTGATGAAATCTCTGTAAAGAATGAATGGAAGCCAGTTTCCTTTCAATGTTAAATGAATTATTTCTTGTTAATGCAGACAGGTACATAAACTCTGATGATTTTATCAGAGAAATAATCTTATCTAAATGATTATCCCATGCCCTACTGAAGTTTAAAAAAATTTTTTTTTGCTGTGTACTTATTATGTAGAAGCACTGTACTGTACAATTTGTTGTTGTTATGTGCTGTCGAGTCGGCCCCGACTCATAGCGACCCCTCCTTGGGTTTCCGAGGCAGTATCACTACGGAAGTAGATTGCCCCAT